CCATCTAGCCTGCAGGATGCTGAACAGTGGTGGAGGGATCAACTGCACTCGCAGACATGAGGCCATAGCTAGGGAACGGGGGGCTGAAGGCAGCGACTGAAAAAGGATTTAAGGCTCATAGGAGACAGACATGAGCTCCCAGTGTGATGCCTTGGCAAAAAGGGCTAATGTCGTGCTTGGACGTAAACACGGGGAAGTGGTGAGTAGGGATGGGATTCCCCTGCTATGGGAATACTGCAGCCAGTTCTGGCAACCACCGCTTATCAAGGACACTTCGAGAAGGGGCAGAGAAGAGACACAAAAATTATTTGAGGCCTGGAGAAAATGCCTTATGGGGAGAGACCCAGGGTAAGTCTACACTGCAAACCAAACCCTGCAACAGTGATTCTCAGAGCCCAGGGCAACTGATTCGGCTTGCGCTACGGGGCTAAAAATTGTAGTGTAGACATTCCTGCTCGGGGTCTGAAACTCCTGTCAATTTTAGTTGGTACTGACTTGGCTGGTGCTTTTTTATGTAGCCTGTTGTAAAACTAGGCAAATGAGTTGAGTACTCCCTGGGAGATCTCTGCTACCCCCAGAGGTACGTGCACCCCAGGTTGAGAACCACTGTCTAGTGGGAAAATGCAGCGTGAGAACCAAATGACCTGAAGCTGAAGCCAGACAAATCCAAGCTCAAAAAAGGCTCCCATTATTAACAGTGCGGGTGACTAACCATTGGACCGGACGGCCCAGGCAAGTGGTGCATTCTCCATCTCTTGATAGCTTCCGATCATGACTGGCTGCTTGCCTGGAAGAGACGCTAGAGCTCAGCTGTGCTCCGGGAGGTCAGACTGGATGATCTAACGGAAGCCTTCTGGCCTTAAAATCTGTGAGGGCAACTCCCCTTCTCTGGGTGGGTTTTCTCATCCACGCAGAACAGACCTGGGTTTCTCCGGGGCTCATCCAAAGGGTGACAGGCCACGTGGAGCTCAGTGTCTCTCTCCCAGAAGGATGGAGATGAACCGACTCTACTGGGGTTCAAACTTGCAAGTCCAGGGAGCATAGGAATTGCAAACTAGAGGTTTACGGCCCCAAGCCAACCCCTCCAGCCGACGGGGCGGGAAGCCAAACACTTCTCTTAGCTCAGCCAAACCAGCGTTGCTAACACAGGGCTGCAGCTAACTCCCTGGTGCCCACCAACTCTATCCTAGCGACGGTGGCTGCCTGCATGCAGACCAGGGTCGCCGTCCACAGGCCAGATCACGCAACACAAGGCCACAGGAACGCAGTCACAACCAACGGTACTGAGAGACATTCATCACTGCTGGGTTAACCCGGGGGCTGGTGTGCAGTGGGGCCTTCTATACCCTTCTCTGCCCCCCACCCCGCTTGGACAGCTCCATTCCCGGCTGCCCACCCTTCCACAGCAGAGGGGACCCAATCGAAGACAGCCACTGCTGCCCAATGTTAAGCAGCCATGAGGCTGCTCCGACAGTTCCGGGGACACCGGCTTGCATGGTTCAGGGGTTGGAGCCGGACAACACAACCACCCCTGTGCCACGCTTTGGACATCACAGGATCTGGCCCTCGGCCTTCACGGTGCTAACCTCGGGGCCTGGGCATTGTGACAAGAACCCCCCGCCAATGGCTTTCTTAGTCGATGCTAGAAATCAGAGGTGAGGAAAGGCCTAATGCAGCTAGTGCAGCCCCCGCCCCCGCCCCCAGGGTCGGCTCCAGCATTTCTGCCACCCCAAGCAAAAAAAAAAAGCCGTGATCAGCGGTGGCAGTTCAGCAGCAGGTCCTTCGCTCCTAGAGGGAGTGAGGGACCTGCCGCCCCCGAATTGCCGCAGGTGCCGCCCCAAGCACCTGCTTGTTAAGCTGGTGCCTGGAGCCGGCCCTGCCCCCCGCCCCCCCGAGCTGTCCCCAGCCCAAGGAATAAAC